TCCCCCATAAACTTCGATATACGTGTCGTTCGAATTGTTTGATTTGAATTGATATGTGATTGCCGGATCCGGAAACTTAAAAAGTCTCATTATATGATGTTCTTTGGCCTCGCTGGACCCTAGGGGCCTCAAGCGGTCAGCATCAGCTCAGAGACCGCCAGAGAAATCACAAACACCACAGCCCACAGGGCGCTGGGGTCATACGTCAACACAATCACTTTGAACACAACTCAATACTTTCAGGATGCACAGTTTCCCCCAAAAAATCGAACATGTGAACCAGGAGACCGTCTCTGGAGGTCTCCTGGGGTTAGAGGTCCTCTAACGAAGCAGTTACGCAACCACTTACAAATCTGTACATCTTTTCTCAATCTTTGACGGCTTTGTTTACAGTTATTAAACAGTTAATGAGCTCCGAAGCACCAGGAGGCTGTTTATAACAATAACAACAGTTGATTGGCAAGTTTTCATGCTTGTAAACTGTTTAATAAATGTAACCAAAGCCGTCAAAGATTGAGGAAAGATGTACAGATTCGTAAGTACTTGCGTAACTGCTTCGTGAATCCGGGTCCAGGTCTATATGGACAATAGTTTAGGGCAATATCTTTGCAGTTATCAGAGGACTGGGCTGGACTGGGGAACAAGAAGTAGTACTAACAACATCAGTTACATTATTAGTAGTCGTAGTAACACACAAGGAAATCCCCCTTAACGTCTCATATCAATGAGAACATCTATTAGAGCAATGTGGGGAATCGAACCCTCGACCTGGGTACTCCCAAGCCACGCACCTTATCTCTGCACCACGACATTACAACCTGGGATTCCTCTGAACCCACAGGAAGTCTGGAGCCCAATACTGAAGCTAGTTCAGGTTTTACATATGACACCATCCATTCCTCCCTTGCTAGCATTGTTAGACCTGTGTGTGTGTGTGTGTGTGTGTATGTGTGTATGTGTGTGTGTGTGTGTGTGTGTGTGTGTGTGTGTGTGTGTGTGTGTGTGTGTGTGTGTGTGTGTGTGTGTGTGTGTGTGTGTGAATGCGTGTGATGCATATCTAATACATGGAAGGGGTCACCTTGGAGATATCTCCCAGTGGGTTCCACTCCTTCAACGTCGAATCATTCCCTCTTATTCCTTCACAAAGACACTAACATATAATCTTGTATTCTGATCACTTTAGGGAGAAATAATTCCATTCTTTTCCCAGTAATCCTAATAATGAGATGCCATGACTCACATCAGCACACTGGAAAGCAGTATGTCGAAACCTAACCTTTCCTAACCTAACCTACACTTAACCTAACCTAACCTAACCTAACCTAACCTAACCTAACCTAACCTAACCTACCCTTTCCTAACCTAACCTACACTTAACCTAATTTAACCAAATATAACTTAACCTAATCTAACTTAGCTTAATCTCTCCAAACCAATTCCTTAGCAGATACTCTCACAATAATATTAACACTAAACAAGGCATGTATAGTTAATGAATTAAATATCAGAACAATTTGATATTTTCAGGCAGCAGTTCCTCTGTCACACACACACACACACACACACGCACACACACACACACACACACACGCACGCACACACACACACGCACACACGCACACACACGCACGCACAAGGACCGGAGGCTAATTGCCAGTCCAGACCACGAAGAGTACACCACAGTCATTCAAAAAATATTCTCGCCAAAACATCGAACAATATATTAGACCATATTGTCTAGTGCCGTAAGGATTATTTCGCTACCTTCTGAATCCAAACATCTGTCGTTATTGACTGTAAATATATATGCCAATTAATTAAGAATATTTTAAATTCATATATATATATATATATATATATATATATATATATATATATATATATATATATATATATATATATAATAATAATACTAAGGGTACCCGGCGTTACCCGGGCCTGTATGTCTCTCATTTATCTATCCATAAATCTATCTATCCATCTAGCTATCCATTTATCCATCTCTCTCTCCATCTATATATATATTTTTTCTCTTTCATTGTTTGTGAAGCCCTCTGGACTATTCTGCATTCCCAATAATAACTTTTTTTGTCCCATTAATCACTTTTATATTATTGAATATCCTGAAACTGTTTCATAAGTTTCTTTCAATCATCTTATATATTTTTTTTTATATATTTTATCATCAATGTTTTTCTACTTTATCTTCACAGGAAATGCTGGATTATTCGTTTGTTAATTGCATGCAGACATTCAATAGACATATTGAAACCGTTCAATACGTACAATAGACATATTTTCTGCATGCTTGTTGAAGAGGTCACAAGCAGGTTGACCAGCGAGCTCAACATCTGGTTCCTGAACGATGGCTCCCCTAGCAGGGACACTGAGAACGACCTGAGGAAGGCAGAAGTGAGAATAAAGGCTTTAGATATGACAGGATGAACAACCCAGCGGGTTTTCTTCCTATTGGGGAGTGTTGTACATCCTGCTATGGCGGTATGTCCACTCATAAGATGAGTGGTGCTGCCCAATAAACTCTGCCCCTCGGGGCAAAATTTAAATTTAAAAATGCTTTAGATACATACGATGCTGTGTACCTCCTGGCATTGCTCAGGATTACCTATTACAAAAGGTGCGCACCCTCTTCTGATAGTCCATAATTAGGAGAGTGCGACGAACTCCTAAAAGCAATATTAATGTCTTAAACCTTCCCCTTGGAAGATGCCCAATGGGACCAAGCAACGTCATTTCGACGCGGGGTACAGGTATGCGTGAAATTAAATTGGGTCAGTCTTGATTAACCATTGTGCCAGAAGCCTTAATGTTAGCCTTGGTATCTACAAATTATCCTAACCTACTAGAGGACCCCTAAAACAGAAAACGGAACAGTAGGTCAATTTAGCGAGTCGCTACCATTTTCTAGTACGACTATGTTAGGCCTTAAGTAGAATATACGTCAGAATACGTCGTTCTATAAGGAGGACGGGTTGAAGCAGGTAACCTCACGGTCTCTCCTTCCCTCTCTCGTATTCTAGGCTGCTCGGTGGATGGTCTGAGACCGAAAACGCGTTCAGAAGTTTCTTATTTCTCAATGTGGTATTTCCTGCATTCTTGAATCAGTGATTTCGTGTTCGTTGTTGCATGTATACTGTATGTATATATGCAGTATTGTGTATGCAGGTGTGTATGTCGTTGCTGAAGTGCACCTTTGTTATTAAGAAAGCTGTGTACCATAGCTGGTGTGTGTGTATCTAGCTACTTTGTGTGTGTACCATAGCTGCTGTGTGGGTACCGTAGCTGCCATATGTGTACCATAGCTGGCGTGTGTACCTTGCTGCTGTGTATGTACCATAGTTGCCGTATGTACCTTAGCTTCCGTGTGTGTACCATAGCTGCCATGTGTGTACCATAGCTGCTGTGTGTGTGTACCATAGCTGCCATGTGTGTACCATAGCTGACGTGTGTGTACCATAGCTGCCATGTGTGTACCATAGCTGCTGTGTGTGTGTACCATAGCTGCTGTGTGTGTATCATAGCTGCTGTGTGTGTACCATAGCAGTTATGTGCGTGTACCATAGCTTATGTGTGTGTACCACGGCAGGTGTGTGCGTGTACCACAGCAGCTGTGTGTGCGTGTACCCCAGCAGGTGTGTGCGTGTACCACACCCACCAACGCACGCACAACTGGTTTCGTTAACATTCCGTTGTAAAGCCTCGAACGAACAACGTGTTGTTGATCAAATAATATTTAGTATTCATAAAGGGTCACTAACTTGTTGACTTGTCTGTAAAGAATCATTAATTACCTTTTTAATGCCTTTTTTTTAACTCAAGGAAACTTCTTGGTGCTTAAAACTTTTAATTCAAATCTGTAAGAAATTAGGCGATAACGATTTCTCAGTGGACAATTTTTTTTGTTTTTTTTTTCTGTCCATGGACGTAATATCCGGACTGGATAATGATGACCCCCCGTATAAAAGCTCTCATGTGTCTTGCTTCCGGAGTATTCATGTCATTACTGCTCGAATGCTGTTATCAAGATTCTACCCGGGCTCTTTTTGACGGGGCTGTGTTATCGTCGCTTTAACCTTGGATAAACTGCCGGTGTGGAGGTGACGGGGCGGGGCCTCGGCGGTGACGTCACGAGTGTTGCCACTTATTGCGCGCATTTTGTAAAAATGGCAAATATTTTTTTAGTGGTTTTTGAGTTAGATTGGATAAAATCTGAATATATTTGTGAGTGCTGAGGATTGAAGTGTTTAAAAATTGATCATATTCTATTAATGTAATTGTTTGTCATGATAGATGAGTGAATATTTGCCGTCTGAACAAGCATGCATTTAATGTCATGCATTAACTCATGTGCAGTACTGATATATTTGATAATGCTATCACGTGAATTTTCCTCCTATCTAGCTTGCTTGTTGTAGATCAATAATTGCACGAAGGTAAGGTAGTAAGCTGGGTGCTCTTGTTGCAACTATCAAGAATCCTAAACACCGTCTTGGCAACTGGACCGCCGTCATAGTTGTCAAGTAACCGCCCTGCGCAAAGCCCACCATCTGCTGACTCTTTAAAACGACGTATCCAGCATAGACGACTTATCATACGCATCAGGGGGGGCATCCGTTACATCAATATCTCAGTTTAAAAATTATTTTCGTCGAGTTACTAAACCCAAGGCTATTTAATTTTATAAAGGAAATCTACTCATGGTAGCTAAAGGAAGAAAGTGAATTAGACATCATTTTCCGACATTTATTATTGATTTCCCTCTCCAAAGCGTATAAAATAGACTTCATGATACCGAAAACTGCTATATAAACTATAGATTTAGATCAAGCTTCCTTATGTCTGTATATATATCTAGAAAGGGCGATAAAAACAGCGAATGTTTACCGAGTCAGCAAACAGCGGCAAGGAGTGGGAGGGTGCGCGGGTGACGTCACTGCTACACACGCGCCCTGGCTAATACAAGGGAGTCGCGGCGCTGGCATACACAGTTTGCTCCTCTAATTTTCAGTTCTAAGATCATGTCGTGGCCCAGGTTGATTTTACTTGTGTTCCTTGGATTTAGTCTACATGGTAAGTACACATTTATCTGCCCGTCACGGCTCCTTGTCGTCGAGGGCTTACCGTGTGTAGGGGGGTCTAGTGGAGATTTTGTACCGTGTGGGAACATTGAAATCTCCAAAGGGGCCGCGAAGGGGCATATTCACCTGTCCGGTCCCTATTCAGAGGTCGTCCCTCGTTCGGTCGTCCAGGGGTTTCTGTCACCTGGCCAGGGGAGAGACGCCTGGACCAGATATCACCATATCTGGCAACCAGGGAATGGGTAGTTAAGCCCTAAACTAGACGACCCTAAGATAATCAATTAGGCCCTCCCCCCCTCTCCCCCCACCCTATCTTGCCCCAGGAATTCAATACTGGTCCAGAACGGGTCATTCTCACCCGGCCTTTAAATCCCCTTTTTCAGGCCTTTTAAACGTTATTTACTATACTATACGCTTGTAAACGCATTCACTATACACTTCCATTCATCCTGCGATGGAACTTGGGACGGATTCCTCTGCTAAACAGCCCAACTACTCTTAGTCTTTCAACAGCCTCGTTTGGGCACGGCTCATTGTGTCCATTTAACCCTCTGTATGACTTACTGTATCTGTTAATGTGATTCATTTGTACTCCATTCTGTGGTTCGTCGTCGTGGAGGGGAAGGATGTGCTGATTGTCGTCGTGGAGGGGAAGGATGTGGCTTTTGTCGTCGTGGAGGGGAAGGATGTGGCTCTTGTCGTCGTGGAGGGGAAGGATGTGGCTTTTGTCGTCGTGGAGGGGAAGGATGTGGCTCTTGTCGTCGTGGAGGGGAAGGATGTGCTGCTTGTCGTCGTGGAGGGGAAGGATGTGCTGCTTGTCGTCGTGGAGGGGAAGGATGTGGCTCTTGTCGTCGTGGAGGGGAAGGATGTGCTGCTTGTCGTCGTGGAGGGGAAGGATGTGCTGCTTGTGCATGGTCGTGGAGGGGAAGAATGTGGCTCTTGTCGTCGTGGAGGGGAAGGATGTGCTGCTTGTCGTCGTGGAGGGGAAGGATGTGCTGCTTGTCGTCGTGGAGGGGAAGGATGTGCTGCTTGTCGTCGTGGAGGGGAAGGATGTGCTGCTTGTCGTCGTGGAGGGGAAGGATGTGCTGCTTGTCGTCGTGGAGGGGAAGGATATGCTGCTTGTCGTCGTGGAGGGGAAGGATGTGCTGCTTGTCGTCGTGGAGGGGAAGGATGTGCTGGTTGTCGTCGTGAAGGGGAAGGATGTGCTGCTTGTCGTCGTGGAGGGGAAGGATGTGCTGCTTGTCGTCGTGGAGGGGAAGGATGTGCTGCATGTCGTCGTGGAGGGGAAGGATGTGCTGCTTGTCGTCGTGGAGGGGAAGGATGTGCTGCTTTTCGTCGTGGAGGGGAAGGATGTGCTGCTTGTCGTCGTGAAGGGGAAGGATGTGCTGCTTGTCGTCGTGGAGGGGAAGGATGTGCTGCATGTCGTCGTGGAGGGGAAGGATGTGGCTCTTGTCGTCGTGGAGGGGAAGGATGTGCTGCTTGTCGTCGTGGAGGGGAAGGATGTGCTGCTTGTCGTCGTAGAGGGGAAGGATGTGCTGCTTGTCGTCGTGTAGGGGAGAGACGTGTCGTCTCCTCGCGCCACCAGAAACCTCCCACTTTTAAGGGGGACAACCCATAATAACCCTACAACTCTCCCAGCAGTGGTTGGCCTGTTACCGGGCTGCATGGCTGGCCTAAAACTCCTGGGGTAAACTGAGGTAAACTGGAGTAAGCTGAGGTAAACTCATGAGGTAAACTGATAATACACGGGCCCCTATCGGCCCGTTCTCGCAAGCGTTCGAAACGTCAAGAAACCGTCGTACTAAATTGCCCTTACCTCCCAAGGGCACCCATGAACAGAAAACGGGACATTTAAGACAATTTAGCGAACCGCTGCCCATTTCGTAGTACGACAGTTTTTGGCCGTAGGTAATGTATACGTCAAAATTGCGACGTGCTGTTAGGAGCTGCTGCGGCTGCTTGTTAGCCCTGTGGTAGCCAGCCGTTCCAGGAGCCTTAACTATCATCAGGGTGATTAGGAAGTGCGAAGTGATTGAAGTGGTTTCCCTCAATGATCGCTTCCAGGCTCAATATGACTGGTCGTACGGTTCGGTCGTGACTGGTCGTACGGTTCGGTCGTGACTAGTCGTAGGTTCGGTCGTGACTAGTCGTACGGTTCGGTCATGACTGGTCGTACGGTTCGGTCGTGACTGGTCGTACGGTTCGGTCGTGACTGGTCGTACGGTTCGGTCGTGGCTGGTCGTACGGTTAGGTCGTGGCTGGTCGTACGGTTCGGTCGTGACTGGTCGTACAGTCCAGTCCGTCTTGGTTCCCAGACGGTCGTGATGGTTCCCAGACGGTCGTCACGGTTCCCAGACGGTCGTAATGGTTCCCAGACGGTCGTTATGGTTCCCTGACGGTCGTTATGGTTCCCAGACGGTCGTCTTGGTTCCCAGACGGTCGTCTTGGTTCCCAGACGGTCGTGATGGTTCCCAGACGGTCGTCACGGTTCCCAGACGGTCGTCTTGGTTCCCAGACGGTCGTTATGGTTCCCTGACGGTCGTTATGGTTCCCAGACGGTCGTCTTGGTTCCCAGACGGTCGTGATGGTTCCCAGACGGTCGTGATGGTTCCCAGACGGTCGTGATGGTTCCCAGACGGTCGTCATGGTTCCCAGACGGTCGTCATGGTTCCCAGACGGTCGTCATGGTTCCCAGACGGTCGTCTTGATTCTCAGACGGTCGTCTTGGTTCCCAGAAGGTCGTCTTGGTTCCCAGACGGTCGTCTTGGTTCCCAGAAGGTCGTCTTGGTTCCCAGACGGTCGTCTTGGTTCCCAGACGGTCGTGATGGTTCCCAGACGGTCGTCTTGGTTCCCAGACGGTCGTGATGGTTCCCAGACGGTCGTGATGGTTCCCAGACGGTCGTGATGGTTCCCAGACGGTCGTCATGGTTCCCAGACGGTCGTCATGGTTCCCAGACGGTCGTCTTGGTTCCCAGACGGTCGTCTTGGTTCCCAGACGGTCGTCTTGGTTCCCAGACGGTCGTCTTGGTTCCCAGAAGGTCGTCTTGGTTCCCAGACGGTCGTCTTGGTTCCCAGACGGTCGTAATGGTTCCCAGAAGGTCGTCTTGGTTCCCAGACGGTCGTGATGGTTCCCAGACGGTCGTGATGGTTCCCAGACGGTCGTGATGGTTCCCAGACGGTCGTCTTGGTTCCCAGACGGTCGTGATGGTTTCCAGACGGTCGTCTTGGTTCCCAGACGGTCGTCTTGGTTCCCAGATCCTCCTTAAAATCCAAGCTTAACTTTATAAGTGAATCAGGCGCAACAAAGCATCTTAACACGTATCGTAACAACACATTTGAAACAAGTGAAGACGCTTCAATCACTCCTGGACCCGTTAACAAGCCGTCCTGGACCATTAGCAAGTGGTAATTGAGCAATAGGGAAGGAGGAGACAATGTAAGACGAGATAAGGTGGTGAGGGACGATAAAAAAGTATGGGAAACGAGACAGTGAGTCACAATAACGTGGCTGAAGATATGACCACCAAACCACACGTCGGAAAATGGAGAAATGACAACGTTTCGGTCACGTCGTAGATACATTTATCAAGTCGTGTGAAAATAGTCGTGTCAACACATTTCTTAATGGTCCAGGACGGATCGAAACGACGTCGTTTCTCCATTTTCTGCTGTGTGGTTTGATCATGGGGAAAAAACGAGCTATCATAGAAATATAGGCAAGTGTAGAAGCCTTACTCCCCTATACAGATAGCAGATAACATATAGCAAGATAGCAGAAACGAAAAATAAGGAGAAAATGGAACAGAAACGTGAAAATAAATATCGATGAAGGTGAAGACAGCGAGAACCCCCCCCCCCCCCACACACACACACCCACACACACACAAATATAGAAGGAGGAAAGATGAGAGAGCTCACAGGGGGGGACATGTAAATCTGTCAGATCACGACTGGACTAAGGTTTATTTTGAGCGTATTGAGAGAGGGGGCCGGGCGGCGATGTTTTGTTCACCCACGTCCGTAGGTATTTCACCCACCACGGGATGAATTTACCGTGGGCGACTCGACAGGAACGTGGGAGGTTGTAGGAAGGTTGGGTATGTGAGGCATTGCTAAGTTCATGAAGGTGCTAGGTCTATGGACCTACTGGTCTCCCATGAGGTTATTCTGGGGGAGGTAGTAGTGGTTCCGAACCCATGACCCTGGAAACACAAACCGAAACTGTCTCTATTTTCCGCTTGTTACAACATGTAATAAAGTTGTTACATCTTGGCTTAAGGTGTTTATGACGTATTAGAACGTTGTTACAACTTGCTATATTGGTTGTTATAACTGGTTAGGAGGTGTTAAAACTTGTTCGAACGTTGTACCAACGTCGAAGTTTCGGTGTGTGTTTGGCGGGGATTGTGGGTCCTGTGCTGTGGGTGACTGTGTTATATATATTTTTGGAGTATATTTTTCATGGAGTATATTTTTTAATGCAAGTTTATAATAATCAAAGATGTATAATTTGTAAAGGTCTAGTGTATAATCGAGTTCTTGCGCAATGCAACGCGTTGCATTGTGCAATTTAAATGTCGTATACATGATGTAGTCCTGATCCAACTTGAAGTTAATTGATGATCATGATTCAGCTTTCGTGTGGTGTTATTTGCAATATACTCGGCAGGATCATTTTCGTGTGGCGTGACGAATGCTGTTGGGTAATTATATTTCGAAATATGCCACATATTGAAATGGTTTTTCTTTTCACTCTTGGGTTTTTTCTCCTAACCCTTGGGTTTTTTCCTCACCCTTTGGTTTTTTCCTCACCCTTGGGATTTTTTCCTCAACCTTGGGTTTTTTCCTCACCCTTGGGAGTTTTCTCTTCACCCTTGGGTTTTTTCCTCACCCTTGGGATTTTTCTCCTTACCCTTGGGGGTTTTTCCCATTCCCCCTCATCAGCTTCCACACAATCCCTCTCGGTTTTTCTTCTCTCGAGGGGATGGGGGA